TTACAAGCTGATTGTGCATAGATAAGATCCCTGAAGTTGCAAAGACTAAAGTCTCAAAACCAAAGAGATATTCTTTATCAAAGTTAAGACTCTGCTACGCCCCCCTAAAACGGCTTGATCTAACATGCCCCCACATATCTAGGTCACTATGTGGGAATATTTGCATAATGCACCCAAATGTGCACGCAAAGAAAGAAGGCGTGGTTTCAGTAACCGCAGTTAGTGTTGAAGCAGCCATGTCAGGGAGACGCTGTGTGTTTCTAGGCGAAAGCAAAAGCACTTTATTTGGCCTTCCGAAAGTACATGCATTTAGGAATCTTTAAGATCACTTACAACAGAACAGCAATGCATTTTATGGACGACCATTTCATGAACTTAGGAGAGGAGGTAATTCTGACTTTGCTATGACAATCTGGCGCTTCTGAATCAGCTACTGTTTTGTTATTAGTTTAAGTATTTGCTATTGACTGTTCAAATGCGGAGTTTTGCGCATCGTGTGTGCGTGAGAGAGAGAGACAGCGTCACATCACAGTAGAGTCAGCTGTCTTAACCGCGGCTTGTGTACTGCATCATTACTGTGTCTGTTCCCCTTTCAGGCTTGAACTGATGGTAAAACTAATGACATTATTTACTGTCTTTACATTTATTTTGAAAGATGAAGCTCACGATTATGGTAAGGGGCGTTACATTTGTTTTTGTAAGAAAAATACCCATATTCAAAACGTAATAATCACTTTAATGTAGCTTGCGCTCACTGTTGTACACAGAAGCAGCTCCGGGCGGATGAAGTATGAGGTCAGCTTTGTGCATGCGCCGCTCAGAAGTGACACACGCAGAAGCGCAGGGCAGAGATCAAAACAAAACAACGGTCAAGAATTAGAAGTACAAAACAAGGGTTTGTAAAGAAGAATGTCAGAGGATTTCGATATAAGCCAAGAGGAGGCTGGTTTTCCTTTGCTAAAGTAAGGAAACTTTGCTTCCTTTGCTCCTATTAACAAACGTTGGTTTTCATGAGATTCACCGGTGCATGTGCAACGCTGAACTCTTACATCATGCTCTCAGAGCTGCTTCCATGTAAAGTGATTATTACGTCTTGAATATGGATATTTTTCTTACAAAAACGCATCGATTCGCTACAGATGGCCTTTGTTCACCCCCCAGAAAGATCAAAGACAATTTTTTATATAACTCCGACTTGATTCGTCTGAAAGAAGAAAGTCATATACACTTAGTATGCCTCGGGAGTGAGTAAAACGCAGCCCAATTTTCATTTTTGGGTGAACTAACCCTTTAATCATCTTACTACGGGGTCGTTGAATGCTTTAATCCAGGGGTTTTCAACCTTTTAGGACCAAGTTTGTCTAATTTCACTCGCGCCCCCCCAACATCCAACATTAGCTTTATCACAGTGCGTGAGTACCGCATTGAGATGTCTTTGGCTTGAATGGCTTAAAATTACTTTAATGTTTAAACTGGCAAGACTTAAAACACGTGAGAATGAAAAACTTTCTCGAGGAAGCAGCACTGGCTTGATCGTTAAGATAGTTTTGGGGGGCTAAGGTGACAGTTAGGGGGGCTGAAACCCACCTAAAAAGGGTTTAGAACCGCCTCTGGTATAGTGTGTGTAATTATACTGAAACATAAATATATAACCAGTTTACCTGATTCAATGTGATGGCTGAGCCTGTTTCTGACATAACAACATGCCAATCTTGGATTTCCGACATGGCTAATTGTAAATAATCTTAAGCCGAGTTCACACTGCGCGATTTTAGCCCGATTTTTCACTTGCCGACAGGTTTTGCGAAATCGCCGACAAATGCCCGAAATCAGAGGCAAATCGTGAGTGACAATCACACAGTGTGAATTATCAAAGATGCGATCTGAGGGAATCGCCAACTCCTGTGAAATATTTGGCATGCTAAATATCTGGAGCTGTCGGCGATTCACAATCAGGCTGTGTGAAATTAGTTCTGACTGAAAAACACATCGGCAATGACCTACAGTCAATGAGAGAACAAGATACAGGGCAGCCGGAAGTTCGGGGAGGAGTTATATGAAACGTAGTTTGCAGACCAGTGTTGCCAAATCCGCGATCGCCGCAGGTTGAAGCAACCCCAATAACGTGATATTCAGACCCTGGAATGTGAATTGTACCAGGAGAACCCCACCAAAAAAAAATTTATTTTACCCCCCAAACACAATTTTTACTGGAGGACCCCCTCAAAAGTAATTGGGCTATTTTCAGGCTAGTTTTGAGTAGTAATTGGGCGGGTTTTGTAGCGAAAACCTGGCAACCCTGCACCAGACCTATTGTTCCTATTGTAAAGTCATGCAGTGTGTAACCTCCTGTCGTCGATCCATCGTGCCGTGTGAACACAGCAACAACTGAATGCTACCCCAGATAGTCGTTCAGTGTGAAAACAACGGCGATCCGACGAGTTTGAAAATCGCGCAGGTTGAAGCAACCCCAATAACGTGATATTCAGACCCTGGAATGTGAATTGTACCAGGAGAACCCCACCAAAAAAAAATTATTTTACCCCCAACTCGATTTTTACTGGGGGACTGATTGGTTGACCAATGTTCTAAGGTGTGCAGTTAGTTTCAAGGAAAAGCACAGCGAACGTAGTTCCAGGCAGCTCTTGACTGCATTACATGTTCATATCACTTCGTCAAATGATTTCAGTTATTTCAAAGGTCCTTACAGCTTACAACAGCAAAATATCCAAAGCCCACAATGACACTGACCCAGTAAATAAATATAGTAAACAATAGTATAAAAACGACAGATCCTTTTCATGTTTTTGCCACAAAATTCATTTTAATTATGTACGGAACGCACATACTCTATTTCTCCCGCTCTAGTGTTTAATGTGCTGTTGCTAACAGTCATGTGACATTTAATTAATTAATTAGTTAATTAGTTGATTTTACAGTGAAGGTGTTTGATTGTAATAATTTAGGAAATACCTGTAAAATAAGGAGATTTTACTTTCATTTTATGTTTTTTCTTTGCCAGCTGTTGCTGCCAGTCATTTGACCATTTTATAATCTAATGGTTTTGTTAATGTATTAATTACATATTATTTTTGTAATTTTACATACATTTTGTTTGTAATTTAAGAAAACAGTAAACATACTGTATAAAAATACGGTAGTTTTTCTGTATAAAAAATGTGAATTACTGTAATTTGTCATTAATGTCAAAATACTTAAAATAACAGCCAAGTTGTTCATTCGGAGATCATTTTACAGAGTTTTGACTGCAATTCAAAATAAAAGAAAACCTGAAAAAATTGCAGTTATTTTCCATAAAATTCAGGGCGTGTCGTGTGGGGGATGGGAATTGCTGAATGAAATCTCGCGGGATCTGTCCTGCATGCAGATCAAAGAAGGGCTGTATCTCGCGGTAGTTTGATGTCATACGCCGATCGTTCTGCGAAGTGCCGAAGCATCTTGAACAAGCCTGAGGTGATGGGGGATGGGATCTCATGAGAAAGTTGTCAGCACAATTAAAGTGGCTGCATTTTTTTTCTTCTTTTTTGCTAAATGTCAGTGGAAAATTGGGAACAAATGCATGAGTGTTGGAATTTTTAGATTTTGATTACATTTTGTAATCCAAGTGTCAAAACAACAACAAAACATAATTTAAAAGACACATATGTGCACTATATATCCATGTAATCACCCTATATGGGATTAATTATGTTTGCACATTAATATTGCATAAAACAAATAGGGTCCCTTGTGTAGCCCATTTTGAGCCCATGCACACATTTCCCATTAATTACCCAACTAGGAACCACATCGGGAGACCACCTGGGTTCACCAATGTGGGTCCTATACTGGGTCACCCAAGTGGGCCCCAGATAAGATGCCCATTTTGAGCCCATGCCCACTCTGTTCCCCTGTAGCTCATGTGAAACCCATGTGGGCCCCACATTAACGTGTTTGCTGGGATATTGGGTAAACAACTCAATGTTTTTCCAATTTTTAACAGTGTAAATTGTAGTCAAGTCTTTGTAAAATGATCTCTAAATTAACTACTCTGCTGTTATTTTAAGTATTGTTTTAAGTATTATGGCATTAATGACAAATTACAGTAATTCACATTTTTTATAGAGAAATATTACTGCATATTTATACAGTATTTTTCTGTTTTCTTAAATTACATACACTGTTAAAAACTTTAGTGTGAAATGACAGTATATTCCAGACTAATAATTGCATGACTTTCACAGTAATTTCACAGTGAGACTTCTCTTGTATCTAACTGCACTCTCAGAAATTTCTTGTAAACAAACAGCATCATAATGTGTTTCTACAGTGCATATGTACTATGAAGGTTCCCAGCATGCAATGCAGCATGAATAGATCATGCTGTAGAGTTTTTTTATTCTTGTTGGTTTTATTTGTGCTGTTGAACTTGTTTTTGGTTCACTGTAATTATAAGGTGCTGCATTGAGAGACTGTATTAGAAACTGTACTGTATTAAAATAAACTTGTTTCTAGGCATTAATTTGGATTTTGTTGTAGTTCACTGTAAAGTCTGTGTTATATTGTCAATAGTGATGGTAGCAGTTTAGCAGATGAATCTGTAAAGAGTAACCAGCAGCCTTTTTTATTTTACTTACAGTATATCCTGGTTTTTGATAGGTTTTATTTGTGTCACTTTTTGAAATGGTTACATTTTTTACTTATAGCCAGATGATTATTGCTTTCATCTCACATTACTAAAGAAAATAACTGCATTCTTAACAGTGTTAAAATATTCCACTCGTATCCTGTAGAGGAGCAAGTGATGAGGAAGTTGACAGAGAGTCATAAGTTTGATATTTTACAGAGAGCTGCCTTTATATATTCAGTTAAACAACACTCAGAGTACACCTGTGAGGAAAATATATTCAGGGGTTATAACTTTTAATATTAAATTTCATTCTTTATTATTAAGAGACTCAAACTCCTCCTTGTCAGGTGACACATGAAAGTGAATCTATTGTAGCAGGATCTGTTTTGTCATATGAGGAAGTAAACTACATGAAGAGAGAAAAACACAGTGAGTATCACAATATTAAAATCATATTCGATAGCCAAAATCAATCCAGACTGGTTTAAAGTGAAGTACAACAATAAGCAGCATCAGCTATTTTGAAAGTAGTTAAAATTACATCAAGAGAGAAAACACAGAGTCTGTAAATCATCAGATTCCACTTTTACTTTCATTTGAACACAGTGCTTTTCTGAATTTGATTCTGTGTAAATAATATCAGGATGAAATAGTTTTTCATGTGTGCAGGTCATCGTTGTTGACTGACTGTTGAGACAGAGGTGGATTTGAGAAAATTAATTGCTGAGATGATTCATAACTCACTCTGGACCAACATCTGGATCTGCCTTCAGATGAAACCATGGCCTTCAGAATGAATCTCTCTGAAGAACATGACACACAGATAAAGACAGTCAAGAGGTGAGAGAACTTGAAATGTTTCAGATTTTTAATGTTCAGAAATAATAAATGCATACTACAATAACATTTTAATTTATAGTCTGATTCAGCGTTTTGAATCATTCTTGCCTGAACACATCGATGTGTCTGTGAGGAAAAAACAACGGAGGGATCTTTCAGATCTCTGCAGAGAGGAAGACTCTTCTGTTGAGCGCAGGTGAGATATTATGAGTGTCATATATACTGCAGGTGTGGTGCATTATGGACATTCACCAGGTGTCCCTGTTGCTGCTGGATGTTTCTGTGTCTGTCTGTATCTATATGTGTGGATTGCTCTATTTTATTCTATAATGCATGAATGAAAAGGGCACATGGGGCAGATTCCTTTTATTGATAGAAAAATAATACATTAATCTTATAACTCTCAAGTCACAACAGACTCCTCACTGAAAAAAAAATCTGTTGGATTAAAATAAAAAATCTGTACATCGGTTGCACATATTTATGTTCTCTCAACATAATTTATCTCTGTTTATGTTACCCAACTTACGTTTGTCAAATGAACATGATTTTTTTATGTTGTCTTTTGCTTTTTATGTCACGGTACCTCATGTTGATTTAACATGATTTTTGTTAAAGGGGTCATATGATGTTGCTAAAAAGAACATTATTTTGTGTATTTGGTGTAATGAAATGTGTTTATGCGGTTTAAGGTTAAAAAAACACATTATTTTCCACAATGTACATTATTGTTTCTCCTCTTTGCCCCGCCTTTCTGAAACGCATTGATTTTTACAAAGCTCTTACTATACTGTGATGCCGTCTCTCAGTCCAGCTGCTCTGCTCGTGCACATCCCATCATCGGTTCTCTTTTAGCAGTTCAGTCAAACTGAATAACTCGGGATATTGGTTTATTATGATAGATTAATAACAGATTAAAAAAAGCTTTGGTCAACTATAACATTTTAGCAACCTTAATATTGTACATTATTAAAAGCAGTAAGGTAATAAGCAAAACCATTTCTTAGAAAAAAAATACTGCATATTTTTCAACTGTACACACCAATCCATACAGATTACAAATATACAGATAAGCATGATACACACATAGCTCATTTGTTTGAAATGCATCTGTTAAAATATAATGTAACCCCATATAAAACCAAAATCCAAAACTAAAAATCTATAATAATACTTCATTTCCCCCCCCCCCACACACACAAAAAAACCCGTGCTTAAAGTAATACATTGTTACACAATAAGAACAATGACAGAATAGCTCAAATTAAATAAAAAAATACATTTCTATATTTTTAAGAAAGACTTAAAAAGCTCCACCATTATACTCCTCAAATGAATCCTTCAAGGGACAGTTCACCCAAAAATGACAATTCTGGTATCATTTATTCACCCTCAAATTTCTTTGTTCTGCTGAACACAAAGGAAGATATGAGACCAAACAGCTTTGGGGCACCATTGATTTCCATATAGTAGGAAAAAATACTATGGAAGTCAATGCTGCCCCAAAACTGTTCGGTTATAAGCATTCTTCAAAATACCTTCCTTTGTGTTCAGCGGAACAAAGACATGTATACAGGTTTGGAGCAACTTGAGGGTGAGTAAATGATACCAGAATTGTCATTTTTGGGTGAACTATCCCTTTCATCAGTTAAGTGGGCAGCTGAATTTCGCAGTAGCTAATGCCAAGTTATCCAAATAACTGTAAGATTATCTGGCCCTATTGACAATCCTGATGTCCCCTGGTCCGTCATGGGCATTGTCTCCTCAATGGATCCTGGGATGAGGGCTTCATCTGCATCCTGCAGAATGCACAGTTAAAAAATAGAGTCAATACTACTCTGGAAATATCAATAATTTAATAATATCTGTATCCTGAGAAATGTAAACTTGAATATAATGAGAAGCAGTTATGGTCAACAGAGACTGATTACAGACAACGGCTGACAATGGTAACGTCCGGTTCAGTTTCTCATACTGACACAAAATTGAATCTAGTCGACATACAAAGAAAAAGATTACACACATTTCGAAAAACGTTAATATACATGATCATTTTCAGACGCGGCTAAAGCTAGTGTTAACGTTAGCTAAATTGGACATTAGCACAAACGTTGCTTTTAAAACAGTGTTGTTTGATATGACAAGTTCATAAAACCTAAATGAAAATGTGCACATTCAAATGCTGAATGGTTACTCTAAACTGAATTTTAGTTTCATGTTTTAATTACCTCCGTGTAGAGCTCAGATCTCATCCACAGCAAGAGACAAGATGGCGATGAGCTCGAATCGGTTTCCTTCACAAAGGGACGGGGTTTCTGAAGAACACATAACTACTTTATTTAGCTTCAACATGACTAATTCTATACGATTGAACATCCTTACAGTATAAATACATGGTGCATGATTAAAATATGTTTGGATGAGAAACATAAATTAATCATGTAGGAAATATACTTATTTAAAAATTCAACAACCTCCACACTGCTATTTTTCAGTACTCAAGTGAAAGAGATGAACATTAAAGGGAGGTTGAAAGAGTAAAGGTGTTTCTGTCAGAGCAGTGTGAGATTTTCAGAAACAGTTTGTATTGCTGTTGTGTTTCAGTCTGTGTGAGAATGAATCACCTGAACCCAGCTGTGTGTCCATGAAGAGTGACCGGTCAATGCATCCTCCACTTAAATTCAGCTCGGGAGACTCATCTGCTGATCTGAGGTGTTGTTCAGTTTACATTATAATAAATATACAGTATATATGATATTCATTCATTTACTGATCTGTATTAAATACATTAATACATATTTATACAAATATTCAATATTTGTTTAACTACAGTCAAAAGCATGAAGGAGCAGAATCACATACAGCAAAGAATAACTTAGACTCCATTTTCAAGGTCGGTTTTGTGTGTGTGTGTGTGTGTGTGTGTGTGTGTGAAGTTATTAACAGGTGATAATTTGTAGGCCACTATAAAGCAGATTAATGACCACTAACGCAGAGAAGCTGAGTTCATATGTAGCCTGACTGCTGCACAAATATGAACATCAATCTAGCAAACAGCCAATTCAGTCAAACTCCCTCGTTTAACCTCAGTATCTGTAGACGCTGATGTTTGAGCATACAGTGGAAGTTATTAGCAGGTGTGATATAATTCAGTGATGTTTAGTATTCATGCCTTTGACTAAATTACAAAATAAATTTGGCCTTGACTCTTGTGTATTGATCCTTTGGTTCATCCTCTCTGTGACTGAATGCAGGTTTATTTTTTGAATATTCACTGTGATTTCAGGAGATTGAGCACAAAATCATCTCTGTGATGAAGAGTGAGTTGAAAAGCTTTAAGAGACTACTGAGTCCAGATTACCCAGAATGCTCTGAAAGAGACCGTTATACTGATGAGGGTCATAGCAGAGTCAGAGAAGGGCTTCTGAAGATCACACTGCACATCCTGAGGAAGATGAACCAGACAGACCTTGCTAACACACTACAGACCAGTAAGAGCTCTGGATCAGCAGATTATAGCCTGTGCTTTTATTATCAACCTTCTGTCTTCAGTCACTAATGATCCTGAATGTCACAACACAATCTAATATCTAACATATCAAACCTAAAAATACATTTATAACATATTGCTCTGCCAATAACAACAATTATGTCCTTTGCTCAGAACTGATGCCTGTGTATCAACAAAAACTCAGATCCAGACTACAGGACAAATATCAGAGAATCAGTGAAGGAATGCCCAATCATGGAGACTCAACACGTCTGAATGAGATCTACACAGAGCTCTACATCACAGAGGGAGGCAGTGGTGAGGTCAATAATGAACATGAGGTGAGACAGATTGAGACAGTGTCCAGGAGACCAGAGACACAGGAGACACCAATCAACTGCAATGACATATTTAAACCCTCACCTGGACAAGACAAACCCATCAGAACTGTGCTGACTAAAGGAGTCGCTGGAATTGGAAAAACAGTCTCTGTGCAGAAGTTCATTCTGGACTGGGCTGAAGGAAAAGACAATCAGGATGTTCATTTCATATTTCCACTTCCTTTCAGGGAGCTGAACTTGATACAGAAAAATCTCAGCCTCAAGCAACTTCTAAACCACCTTCACACAGAAACCAAAGAGTTTAAGTCAGCAGATTATGAGGACTACAAAGTCATGTTCATATTTGATGGTCTGGATGAGTGTCGACTACGTCTAGATTTCCAAAACAATCGGAGCTTGTCTGATGTAACAGAATCAGCTTCAGTGGATGTGCTGCTGACCAACCTCATCAAGGGGAATCTACTTCCTTCTGCTCTCCTCTGGATCACCTCTCGACCAGCAGCAGCCAATCAGATCCCTCCTGAGTGTGTCCACCAGGTCACAGAGGTACGAGGATTCAACGACCCTCAGAAGGAGGAATATTTCAGGAAGAGAATAAATGATCCGAGTCTGGCTGATAGAATCGTCACACACATCCGATCATCAAGAAGTCTGTTCATCATGTGTCACATCCCAGTCTTCTGCTGGATTTCAGCTGCTGTTCTGGAGAGGATGATGGGTAAAGCAGAGAGGGCAGAGATTCCCAAGACTCTCACACAAATGTTCACACACTTCCTGATCTTCCAGACCAAACTGAAGACACAGAAGTATGATGGGAAATATGAAATCGATCCTGATCAGGCTAGAAAGACTATTCTGTCTCTAGGAAAACTGGCTTTTGAACAGCTGGAAAAAGGGAACCTGATCTTCTATGAGGAGGACCTGAAAGAGAGCGGCATTGATGTCAGAGAAGTGTCCGTGTACTCAGGAGTTTGTACCCAGATCTTCAGAGAGGAGTCTGGATTGCAGCTGGGGAAGGTGTACAGCTTTGTTCATCTGAGTATTCAGGAGTTTCTTGCTGCTTTATTCAAGCTGCTGTCCATTTCTGAACAAAACACAGGACTGAAGAATGAGTTCAGGTCACCAATGACCAGTTTACTGAAGGGAGAAGTGGACAAGGCCTTACAGAGTGAGAACGGACACTGGGACCTTTTCCTCCGGTTCCTTCTAGGTCTCTCACTAGAGTCTAATCAGACTCTCTTACAAGTCCTCCTGAGAAAGACAGTAAGCAGCTCTGATATCAATCAGGAAACAGTTGAATACATCAAACAGAAGATCAGGAAGAATCTCTCTCCAGAGAAATCTATCAATCTGTTCCACTGTCTGAATGAACTGAATGATCGCTCACTGGAGCAGGAAGTCCAAACATACCTGAGCAGAACAGGTGTCAGTCGTCTCTCTGGAGTCAAATTATCTCCTGCTCAGTGGTCAGCTCTGGTGTTTGTGCTGTTGAACTCAGAAGAAGAGCTGGACGAGTTTAAACTGAATAAATATGATCGATCAGAAGAATGTCTTCTGAGGCTGCTGCCAGTGTTCAAAGCATCTAGAAAGATTGAGTGAGTATTTTACAGTGTCTCTGTTTTATTGGCTTTATTTTATACAGTAGGCCTGTGTTTCTCTTCACTGTTTCTGTTTATTTTAAGGTCTTTCTTATTTGACACAGTGAGTGTGTGTGTGTGTGTGTGTGTGCGTGTGTGAGCGTGTGTCTGTGTGTGAGCGTGTGTCTGTGTGTGAGTGTGTGTGTGTGTGTGTGTGTGTGTGTGTGTGTGTGTGTGTGTGTGTGTGAACATCGTAGGTCCGATCGCTTAGAAAAGATACAGCACTCCTCTCCTCAGTGAGCCGGTCGATTTGACACCTCATTCATGGGTCTGTGATAAATGGTGAATGAACTTAACTCATCTTTATTTTTTCTGTATTTTCTCTGCAGTCTTTCTGGCTGTGATATTACACAGAAAGGCTGTACTGCTCTGATTTCAGCTCTGAGATCAAACCCCTCACACCTGACAGAACTGGATCTGAGCTATAATAAACCAGGAGAATCAGGAGTGAAGCTGCTCTCTGCTCTACTGGAGGATCCACACTGTAAACTGCAGAAACTACAGTAAGTTATTGAGTCAATGCTTTCATTTATTATCCTGTATTAAAGCAGATCTTAGTGTATTTTATCTTTCTCTATATTGTACAGTATTTGACAGTGGAAACTCCACAAGCTCCAAACAAGTGACTCAAAACAACACGTCCTGAACAAGACTGTCACCTGGACAAATGCAGATACTGATCCAGCAGTTTCATATGTGAAGGAATTTTCTTATTAATTTTCATTTAGTCTAGAATTTTTTTCCTCACCATTATGGTGACTTCAAAACAATTAGTCAAGTCACCTTTATTTATATAGTGCTTTTAACGACAGTTCAAACCCCTTAAAAAATTAATAAAATAAAATAATTTACTTTTGTTAACTGAGTACATTGCAGAATGTGTTTACAAAATACAGAACATTTTCTTTAAAAAAAAGATTCTTACACTGCTTGAAGATCCCATTATAACTTAATATGGCTTTACAGTAGTCTCAATAAATATAATATTTTATCTTATTTTTATATTTTTATCTTGTGAGTGATATACAGTCAATTCAAAATGTATTCAGACACCTTCAACATTTCTCACATTATATCACAGTTCATTCACTATAGTTTAGAAAATGGTAATAAAATATGAGAATAACTGAGTTAAACTGTCAGAACAAATTAATCTTGATAATGTCAGATAACTTTGATAGAAAGGTATGTAATAGATTACAATCAACCCAAAATTATTCAGCTGTTAAATTTAAGTACACAATTAGATAATACCAATTTAGGTCAGCTAATTACCAAGCAATACTTAAGTTTGTTCAGTCTGTGGTGTGAAAAGGTCACATTAGCAATTAAAGAAAAAACACTTAAGCAAAACATGCTCAGGTCAAAGTGTCTGAATAATTTTTAATGGAAAGTCAGACAGCTATTTATCACATTAGATAACAGTATAGGGATGCTTTTTTACCCCAAATACCGTACTTTTCATATTCTTCAGTTATTGAAAAACTGTTGGTGTAATTACCTTCAACAAAACTGAAAACATTAACAAGACCTTTGTCTCAAAGCATATTCTGTAATTATTTGATGCTCATTTGCTACATAAGTCTGTAATAATTTTAAATGAGCCTTTTACACGAGTCCTCTTTTAGCCCCATTGTAAACTACCACATGCGAGTCCCAAGTGCCTCTTTGCCTGAATGTTTATTAGCTACTGGCCAGGAGTCACTTTAAACACAGCAGAACGACACTATGACTAAAATATCACACACATATTTATGTTAGGGAATGCATTAAAATACCAAGGTTACATGTGCACTTCATGATTGGTTCAATTCATAGCTCTACTAATCATCCATCCCTCTGTTACTGAGCAGATACAGTGGGGCAAAAAAGTATTTAGTCAGCCACCAATTGTGCAAGTTCTCCCACTTAAAAAGATGAGAGAGGCCTGTAATTTTCATCATAGGTATACCTCAACTATGAGAGACAAAATGAGAAAAAAAAATCCAGAAAATCACATTGTAGGATTTTTAAAGAATTAATTGGTAAATTCCTCGGTAAAATAAGTATTTGGTCACCTACAAACAAGAAACTCTTCCCATCTCAGTAACTATAAGGTTTCGAGTAAAAGGTAAAATTACACAAATGTGTTTTCCATTACACAGTAAAATCCTGAGTGTTAAATTAACACTGCTTGAAGCATATATGGTCCCACTCTACAAGAGTGTTAAAGTAACACTGAATTAGTGTTAAAGTTAATGAGATAATTAAGTGAATAATTAAGTGCTGATTGAGCATTAGTGATGAAAACCTGCTGTTAACAAGCAGAATTACTGAAGAAAAGAAAAACACGAGAACTACAACTGACTTCAGCCACAGTCTTAGATTAAATCAATTGAAATAAAAGAAGACATTAAATCTCTCAAGATCTCAGCAGAAGATGATTAATCATCTCCACAAACAGCATCACCAGCTTCACACATTACTAACCAGACTGACTTTATTTGTCATGCATTTAAACATTTCTTATTAAGAATTAACAGAGGTTTAGATGTTACCGGTTAGATCCGGTTGTGTTGATCATTTTTGATTTTGATGTAGTTTTTATGTAGAGCCTGATTCACTGATGTTATCAGTGGTGACGTGTAATTAGTTTATTTTAATGATCACGACTTTACTTTTTATTTTGAAGAAACGATATGAAGAGCTTTAAAAACACTGCACACCAGTTTAGAACATGTGTACTGTTTAGACACGCAGACATCAAGGATCAGCATATGAATCTCAACAATAGTGACGAGCATCAGACAGATTCATGCTGCAGTGCATTCTGGGTGCACCAATCATAACTCATCCATGGCTCCCAGCATGCATTGCGACATGAATAAATTATGCAGCTGCATTGTCTTAGTATTTTCTTTTATTCTCACTGTTTGCTTTTATTTTTGTAATTTGTTGTAACTTTTTACTGCCTTGTTTGTGACATTCAACAATCATATCAAAATTACCAGAATATTTTGTCACCATTGCTGAGATTCGCATGCTGATTCTTCATGTCTACGAGTGCCAGAATTGAAACCTTTTTTATGAACAATATTTCTAAAAGTGGTTTATGAAGTTTTTTTCACATTGTCATCTCATATCATAGAACTGCAATAATATAGAAATCATAAAAGTACTACAGTTTTAGATAAAACACAATCAGCAAGAAATGACTTCATCATAAGTTCCTTGCTATCACATATGTGCTTTATAAACACTAGCATAACAGCCAAAGAGAAACTTATATTTAAAATGTCAAGGGTCAAGAGACCACTATAGCAAACACTCTTCACCAAAACGGTAAGTTGAAAAGAAAAAAAATAAAAAGCATCTAAACCTTAATTCTCAATAAATAACTTCTGTTTTAGATACTCCAGAAATAAAGTCAGTCTGGTTAGTAATGCATGAAGCTAGTGATGCTGTTTGTAGAGATGATTAATTATCTTCTGCTGAGATCTTTAGAGATTTAATGTCTTCTTTTATTTCATCTAAAGGCCCCGATATACTTCAAACTAAGTTCTTTTTCGTTCTTCGTTTGAGGGCAAAAAGAAGTTCGAAAAGGCTAAGCGGCGGTGTACTGTTTTCGAACATTCCACACTCCCGCACTGCTGGAAGCGGTTGTAAACATGTCACGCCGCCCGCGTGTACCCCCTAAACACAACAACGATGGCAGCTGTGAGAGAAGAACAGTTTTGTAAACATCTGGCAGTAGCATAGATCTATTCAATGGCAAAGAAAAAGAACAAGAACAAGCGACGTAGATGGTATGTGCTTCCACTTAACGAAAACAGAAAGAATGATGGCGAGTTTGCCCTTTTTATTCAGCAAATGCGGAGCACAGATGAGGAAGTGCGTTTTTCATACTTCAGAATGTGCGCCGCGCGGTTTGACGATCTCTTGAAAAGGGTATCGCCATATGTGAAACATGCAAAAATGCACAGGTCACAGATTTCCACTACGGAGAGACTGGCCTTGACACTCCGAGTACTAGCTTGTGGGGCCACGCAACCAAGTGTGGCTGAAACATTCAAGATTGGACCGTGCACAGCCCGCAAGATAGTTGCGGAGATGTGTTCTCCTGTCTGGCCTCCGTGGAATGAAAAACAAACCGGGGGGAAGAAAAAATAAATAAAAAAATCGCATGTCAAAGAAGGCGGAGTTCCAGAACATACTCACCAACTGCATAATCGCCAATGGTATCTCAAAGGCAGGGCTGGATAGGTAATCGGGCATACCGGGCATTTTCCTGGTGGGCCGACGCACTTAAGGGGCCGACAGAATGTTTTTGTTTTTTTTGCCAAGGACTATCACGCAGGGACAGCGAGCAGCCAGTGGCCCATTGGATTGTCTCCTGTATTGACAGCGTAAACCATCCAATCACAATGTGCTATAGACGGAGTGATGAAGTATTTTGCTCCGCCTATAGATGGTTTCAGCGGCAACAACATAAACAAACGTTACTGTGCATGCGTGCTTTTGTGGCCCTAACTTAACTTCCGGTAGACTTCCAAATAGAATCATTGACAACAGCTAAGTAGTCCCTTTAGAGTAGATTATTTTTGATAACAAGCACAATATGTTTGCTGCGTAAATCAGATGGACTTACTGAACATGCAAATTCATTCTCTGCCAGCAGGAGGTGCTTTAAAGTGGGAGAAACAGAGGTTTCCCCAGTAATGGCTGTACACAACTCAGCACTGAGCTCACAAACACTGCTTTATCAGGCATATAACATGCAAGATGAAATGAAAATGACGTCGAAATTTTCTAGAGACAGTCTTCCTTCAGAAATACAGTGAAATAAAAACACTCCGTTTTTGGGGGGGGGGGGGGGTTTACAGTGAAATAAAAAAGCCTCATTATGATTTTTAAATGTGCAGTACATGCTCATGTTTATTCAACGAAGCCTTTTGGAAAATCTGTCATTTTTGATATTTATGGTGAGCGCCACAAATAAATAAATGTATGGGAAACACATCCCACAGCACAACCACCTGAGCCCAACTTCAGTCTACTCATTACCTTAACTTTAACTGTGTTTGTAGCCAGTGCCATAGCCAGACTGATAAACAAACACAGACCGGAAGTTAACTTCGGGCCAGGCGCGTGCGCCCGATGAAACCGTCTATACAAAGATCGCTTCACTCCAACTTCTTCCTCGTCGGCTTTTCCCATGAACCCGTCTATACAAAGATCGCTTCACGCCAACTTCTTCCTCGTCGGCTTTTCCCATGTTTTCACAGCAGATTTATCAAGAACAGGCTTGCGCTGCGGTGAGTGATGCAGGCCAAAGAGCTAGGCAGGAGGAGCAGAGGAGAGTAGTTGAATCGGTAAAGTGCTTGATAGGGTTTTGCAACAGAGGCAGGCATCTAACCTATCCTAATGTGTGTGCATGCCATGAGTGTAGAATACATAACAGAGATGGGCACTCGAGTTAGTGACTCAGACTCGAGTAACATTTTTATAGACTTCAGACTTGACT